TAGCTACATCTTCAGCAAACAACAGTTTTAGCGTATAGTGTTAGAGCTTATGGAGTGGACTCTGGGGAAGTTTTTTTTGGTCGGTTTAGGGTTTAGGGGTTCAGGGTTTGGGTGGTGTTAAGGGTATTTGGGGTTTAGGGTGTTGGGCTTACTGGAGGGTTTTAGGGTTTAGCCGTTTAGGGTTCTAGAAGTAGTCCATTCTGGGCTTATCGTCTAGGATTTAGTGTATTCACCTGCGAAACGCGAGACAAAGCGCTGATGGTCCATGCGTACCCTAAAACCCTGCAACCTCCAGAACCTACAAAGGAACCCGTATAGAGCCTTTGTAGAACCCCAAAAAAACCCTTCTTAACACCTTACGGATGCCTGAACCCTACACATCCAGTCTGCTGCACCTTCCCGAAGCGCGCAAGTGCACCGGCAAACTCATCCACGGAGACAACGCCGTCTCCGTTCCTTCTCTGGGTTCAGGGTTTAGGGTTCAGCGTTTAGGGATTTACTTTACGGCAACAACCGGGCACCTTGTAACGGCAGCTTAGTCTAAGGCATGCTAATTTAGTCTCCTCCTTATGGCAGCTTCAATCCGATAATCAGGCACCGGAAAGGAAACCCAGTTCTTGCGGCTTGGGGACTTCGCTTCCGTGAGCTGCGGGCGGCGGATGACGACTACAGCGCCTGAACCACAATAGTTCTACACACCAAGTCTTAATCCCGTCCAAACCCTGAACACGTATGGAAACCTTGTACAAGAGAACCCCTATGAGAACCCCAAAAACCTCCAAACCACAAAAATCCTAAACACTACACCCCAACCTACACCCCAAAACCACAAAATCCTGAACCCAAAACTCAAACCCAAAAATACCCAAATCCCTAAATCCTGCACCCCGAAACCCGAAAAAACCCTTAGACCCTAAACCCTAAACCCAAAACCCTAAACCCTTTCAGCCCCTAAACCCCTAAATCCCAAACCCTAAACCCCAAACCCTAAAAGCCCTGAAAGCCTTAAAATCCCTAAAAATCCTTAAAACTCCCTAAAATCCCTAAGCCGAGCCGCAGGTCCAGCAGGGCCAGGGTCTCTCGCAGCGGGCGGTCGGCGAGGAGCAAGCCTTCGGAACTTAGGGTTTAGGGTTTAAGATTTCGGGTTTAGGGTGTAAGTGGAGGATCATGGGACTTAGCCTTCGGGAGACCGGGGTTCTAGGGTTCACGGTCTAGGGTTTTTTGTTTAGGGTTTAGGGCCTAGGGTTTAGGGTCTAGGATTTAGGGTTTAGGGGTTTTAGGGTCTTGGCTTTCGCGTTTAGGGTTTAGGGTTTAGGGGTTTTGGGGCTTAGGGTTTTAGGCTTCAGGGGTTTGGGTTTAGGGTTCAGGCTGTTGGGCTTTAGGGGTTTGGGTTTTATAGAGTTTCAGAGCTTAGGGTTCAGGCACTGAGGTACGAAGCAGCGCTTAGGGCTGCAATCTTGCTGACTTGGGTTTCGACGGCCATGTCAGGGTTTCCAAGGTTTCAACAGAGGGGAGTATGACAAGAGCTGTGCAGCGGCTTTACAAGGGCTTTATGAGGATTGTAGTGTAGGGGCCTTGATAATTGGAATAGGGTTCTGGGGCCCATTATACTATAATTATAAGAAGGAACCCCAAAATAGCATAGGTAGTTATTCACACCCCTATAGTACAGTTTCGAGTTTAAGGGTTCAGGGCCTTGGATGCAGCGTCTCGGGTCGAAGTTTTGGGTTCAGGACGGCGACAACTCCCACGGCTCTGAAACGGAAAGGGGGATCCGCAATGCATGAACCCTAAGCCATAGAGCCCTAAACCACTAACCCTGAGCCCTAAACCGATGATTCATGAAGCCCTCTGAAACGCTTTTGTGGTCCTCCTCCTGCCGGCTAAAGCATCTAAAGACCCTCAAGACGGACGAAATGAGCCCTCAATGCTAAGCCCTAAACCTTAAATCCGAAGCCCTACAACCGAAACCCTAAACCCAAAGCCGTAAGCCCGAAGCCCGAAACCCTAAACCCAAAGCCGTAAGCCCGAAACCCGAAGCCCTCCACCTGAGACACTAAGCCCTAAACCCTAAACCCTAAACCCTCTAAGCCCTAAACCCTAAACCCTAAACCCTTTAAGCCCTAAGCCCTAAACCCTAAACCCTAAACTCTAAACCCTAAACCCTCTAAACCCGCGAGATGCCTGCCTTCAAAGAGTTGGGAGGCCAAGCGCCGGTGGAAGGAAGCGTGGAGGCCTCTCGCGAGAACGGAGCTAAGTTCAAGTTCTTGGGTTTAGAGTTTAGGGTTTTGGGTTTAGGGCCGGGTTTAGGGTTTAGGGTTTAAGGTTCAAGTTCTTTGGGCTTTCGGGCTCAGCGCTTGGAGGCTAAAGCTGAAACGCACATCATGTTGTGGTCTTGTCGGTGCCTGATATGATTCACGCGGTCGTTATCATGGGTCGTGCATATCGCTCACAGCTATTTATGCTTCCAGAAAGTTTCGTGCTTAGGGTTGAGGAGTTTGAGCTGCTGGAGGCTTAATCTAATTCTCTTCAACCGAAACCGTTCTGGCGGTGTGATTGCTGTTCAGGCTCAAGGTTTACTGTTACTCTAGAGCCTGAACCGCAAGATACGGTATCTCCAGGAATCCGAAAGTGAAGGGCAAGGAAGATCAGTAACAGCAGATGCCCGCGGTTAAGTTTTCAGGTTTAGGGTCCGGGGTTGAAAAGTACATGGTTGTTCAGGGTTTAGGGTTTACCGCTTAGCGTGTGTCTAGAGTCTGCGTGAGGCAAGTGCCTTTTCTTGAGGATTGAGGGCACACCCATTTATTGCGGGCTTGCGCCAACATGTAATGTAGGGGCCTCAATAATTAGAATAAAGTTTCGGGGTATATTATACAATCATTATAGTAAGGAGCCCCCAAAATAGTGTAGGTATTTATGAAGGGGTCCAGCTTTTTTTTTGTATTTTTTTTGTTTTTTTTTGTGTTTTTTGGGTTTTTGTGGTATGTATGCTAGAAAATGTCTAACAGTCACAAGGATGGGTCTCAGGTC